GAATGAGCAAGTGGGGGAGGGGGAGAGAGAGAGAGAAAAGAAATTCCCAAGCAGACTCTGCTATGTTAACAACGCAGAGCCCAACAGGGGCTCCATATCACAAACCCTGAGATCATGACCTGAGCGGAAATCAAGAGTTGGATGCTGAACCAACTGAGCCACCCAGGCCCCCTCATTATCATGATTAAGGATTCCCAGTAGAGGTAAAAGAATAATCACTTGGAAATATGAATTTTTGAAAACAAAATTACATCAAGAGGTTCTAATTTCCACTCAGGTGACCATTCTCAGTTACATCTAGGAAATTCTGCCTCTAGTCACAGATGACACTAATACATAACAAATATTTATTAAATTTCTTCTTTTTAAATCAAACACATTTTACTTCCAATAAGTTTGGACTACTTGGAAGAGTTAGCATTGCATCCTTTGTAATTTTGAATATCTGGATGGTAGAGAACTCATGGCTGTAAATGTTTCTCCATCCCTCAAACCTGAATCCTATTCTCCCTGGTTCCTCAACAGCTATGGAAAAGGGTAGGTTAAGCTTTCAGGGAATTTGTGAGTTGGCAAGGAAACGAATAAAGCATAAAAATGCAGAATGTAGATAAAGAGAGCAGCCTGCCTTTAGGAGTCTGCAAAATCTCCGAATTCAATTTTGGAACTGGCTGTATCTCCAGTTCAATTTGTAAAGTTTCCTCGAGCTTCAAATAATGCATACCATGCTACGAGAATTTATGAATCAGCTGCCGAATTAATGAGCAGATGAGACTGGGCTCTGGATTCTACCAGATTGCATCCTAACTCCTTTCAAGGAAGTGGCTGACCCTGGCTAAGCCACAGTTTTCTCATCTGTAAGGCAGAGTGATAACAGTTAGGGTTTTCAGGGGTGCCTGGGTGGCTTAGTCGGTTGAGCATCCGACTTCAGCTCAGGTCATGATATCTCAGTGTGTGAGTTCAAGCCCCGCGTCGGGCTCTGTGCTGACAGCTCAGAGCCTGGAGCCTGCTTCAGATTCTGTGTCTCCCTCTCTCTGCCCCTTCCCCTCTCATGCTCTGTCTCTCAAAAATGAATAAACATTTAAAAATATTTAAAAAAATGTAAAGGTGGCAATTTTTAAAAAAAAAAAAAAAAAAAAAAAAAAGAATTAGGGTTTTCATAAAGATTACCTCATAAGATAATAGTAATCATAATAATAATATTCCTATGAACTCCTCAAGCATAGGGATTGTGTTTTTATTAACATGGTTTTAGTACAGTGACCATAGAACTAGACCAAGAACAAGGGATGTGCAGCTTCCATCAGACGCCATTTTAATATCTGTAAGAGTTGTAGCTCTTCCACAAAGGAAGATTATAGGAAAAATAAATAAATAAAGTCAGAAGAGGTTGTGGAAGAATTGTGTAAGGGCAGAATAATTCAATAAAACGGCAGTAATTTTAAAACCAAAGGTGAAAACAAAGATATGTCTTGGGGCACCTGGCTGGCTCAGTTGGTTGGGCGTCCAACTTCGGCTCAGGTCATGATCTCATGGTTTGACTCATGAGTTCGAGCCCCACGTCGGGCTACTGACAGTTCAGAGCCTGGAGCCTGCTTCGGATTCTGTGTCTCCCTCTCTCTCTGCTCCTCCCCCACTCGTGCACATGTGCACGCACTCTCTCTCAAAAATAAACATTAAAAAAATTTTTTAAAAAAAGATAAATCCTAAGATCATTAAATAAATGTGAAATCCAATTAATCAGTGAAGAAAGTTAGCTATAATCTTAATAAGGGGTGTGGAATTCAATTTACCCAACTCAGGAGGAAAAATTAGTTAATGACCTATCTTGAAACCAAGAGAGATCACCTCATAAAAGACAGGAGTCTGGAGTTCATGTAGTTACAGTGAGTGTTAAAAGGGAGTTGGCATGTGGTCAGTGTCTCAGGGAGAATCCATCTCCTTTCTCAACTGAAACTTTTGGTAGATTTGCAGCCACAGTCGTCTGCTGAAATGGCCACTCTACCTTGCTTGTGACACTACAATTTTCAGGAGTGGGCTAGTGTTTTTAACCCAAAGAAATTTTGGAATAGAGTACAAAGATTAAGTAAATCGAATCTCAATCATTAACACTGTGTACTACGTTCAAAAATAGGGTTTTTTTTTAACTTTTTTTTAATGTTTGTTTATTTATTTATTTATTTATTTATTAACGTTTATTTATTTTTGAGACAGAGAGAGACAGAGGATGAACGGGGGAGGGGCAGAGAGAGAGGGAGACACAGAACTGGAAGCAGGCTCCAGGCTCTGAGCCATCAGCCCAGAGCCCGACGCCGGGCTCGAACTCACGGACTGTGAGATGGTGACCTGAGCTGAAGTCGGACGCTTAACCGACTGAGCCACCCAGGCGCCCCATTGTTTATTTATTTTTGAGAAAGAGAGAGACAGAGCATGAGTGGGAGAGGAGCAGAGAGAGAGGGAAACACAGAAGCTGAAGCAGGCTCTAAGCTGTCAGCATGGAGTCTGACAAGGGGCTCAAACTCAGGAGCTGTGAGATCATGACCTGAGCCAAAGTCGGACACTTAACTGACTGAGCCACCCAGGTGCCCCCAAAATAGTTTTTTTTTTTAATTATTCAGACAATTTGTATATATTTGGTATTTAAAACATTTTCAAGCTTTAAAAAATGTTGTCTATTAAGGTATCTAGCAGGTTAGCCTTCTGAAATCAATTTAAATGGATAATTGGGTAACTAATTTTAGATTCCTGATGTTAAGCCAAATGATATAAACAGTATTGAAATGCTTAAGAATCATCTTAAGAAGTTTAATTTATTAGCTTTACTTAAGAGGGGTTTAACTATATAAGAAGTTTTTTTTTTTCTTATTAGAGAAATTTGAAGGGCTCTAAAAGAAAAATGAATATATTAAGTTGATAAAGGCAGTGTGCAATATTTAAAGGAAGTCTATTAATTAGGTTTGTAACCAGAATTAAGGGAGGCTGATCCGTTCGAGTGGAAGAGGCATAAATCTAAGTCTCCCTTCAAAGTGCTTACTAAAATTATTATATTAACAAGTAAAATAGGATTTGTAAAATCATTCAGCATATTTATTGAGTGTATGCTCTGTGTTGGGCATTATTTGGGATGCTAAGAATATAGCAATGAATAAAAACAAGGGCAACAAATTCTTTATGGGGCCTACACTCATTAAACGTAAGAGCTTTAGAAAAAACTAAGTTATTAAATGTTTTTGCTTTAATGCATTGCATTTAATTTTTAAAACATTAGCTATAAATAGCGATGTACCTTAAAGGACATCAAAAAATTCACATTGACAGTTCTTTCCATTCACCCTGTATCTTTAGTGCCTAGCTCATATTCAACCTCAAAATTGTGTGTGGCTGGAGTGTTGAATCTTCTATTTAGTCTTTCACATCACTCCCAAGAAATCTGAGTTACCCAAGGTTCTTTTCTTAAAATGCAAATGTCTCCAAGGTTAAGGAACTAGGAGATATTTACATCTTCATGTAATTCAATCCGATCGATCGTGTTTCTTCTACCATCTGAGTGAAGGAATAAACTTTCTGATGGAAGGAAGAGAGAAAAATAACTTTGGGGCTGGAAATATTTATGCAGAAAAGGGAAATCTCTGGATTGGGGACACACTACAGGGCAGGGCTGGCAGTCCCAGGGGTAGCTGGGGAGCTTGGGGAATTGGGTGAGGCATACAGAAAGAGTGGTGGAGAGCGCAAAGAATTCTCAACTATTTCAAAACCCACCTCCACCCAGGAAAGAGAAGAGCAAGAGCCTCTTTTTTTGTTTTTTCTTTCCCAGGTGATTATCTGTCCCCAAAACCCAGAAGTCAAAATTGCTTTATTAAAAAGTTCCATTTGGGTAAATAAAACTTATGCAAAATGACCTGGAAACTCAAACCAACATTGTTTCCATAGGAAAATGTTTCTCACCTTTACACAGACCACTTACAACCAGTCTATTGAAACATAACCTATCTGTAAATTGACCATTATTGTGAGAACCCACTCACAAAACCACACCCAGGCAGTTCCAAAAAACCGCAGAGACTCTGCAGAAACCCAGCAATGACCTAAACTACGGGGTTTCCCGGGGCAAGCCTAAGCTAAGAACTCACTGAGCTTTGCAATCTGTACCCACATTTCAGCTTCCCCCACCCTAGCAGTCACACAATTCACATATTCCAAACCCGCAGGCAGCGCTGGTGGCCCCTGTGACAGCTCACCAACCTCCAGAATTGTGACTAATTGCAAATTCCCCACACTGACATTTAGGCACCAACCAGAGAGCAGGTAGATGAGGTTGGGGGAGAATTGTATAGGGGTTGATGCCTCAGGCTCTACAGTCTGAAAGAACTAGGTTTAAAACCTCAGTGCCACGCCCTGGCTACATGACCACTGACAGGTTGCTTAACCTCTCTGCACCTCAGTTTCCTGGTCTGTAAAATGGGGATAAAAATGATACCTATATCATGGAGTTTCTGAGGGGTTTAAATGAAATAATGCACATACATCATTGTGCCTGACCTACAGCGAGGGCTCAGACTTGCACTTGTGTGTATAGCAAGTACGAGCCTGATTTACAGTAAGTGAACAGAGAACGTCTCATATCTTCTGCTTGCAGTATGCCATACATGAAGGCAGTAGTTACTGACATCTTGGTGGGCTTAAATAATTTACAGCCTTTTTCTCAACGTTAAAGAAGCCAAGAAATCATCCCAATTCTTATTTGGGGACTTGAGATGCTGGAGTCATTACAGGCTTTATCAACACTTTCTAAGAGTTGACGAGGATTTGGCTTTAATCTGGTAAATGAAAATTTCACCAAGAGTCATGGAAGAGTTATGAAGTGCAATGCTCTAAATGATGCACTTTCAAATAACCAGTGCCTTTCCAGACATTCAGTCCCATACTGGACCAAAATACCACTGACAACAGTTCCGTGAGAAAATGATTTTTCTAAATAGATCCATATAAACCAGGCTGAGTGATTAAGGGGGAAAATGAGTTTAATAATACAGTATTAGACTGCGTATCATCCAAGTAAAGTGTACTGTAAAAAATGTTTTGAATATAAAATTGACCTCCGGTAACTTTAGTGTTGTAAATACTTGTATTATAGTGAGGTAGACAGTTTAAAAAAACTCTCCATTAGACAGACTTAAAATTTTGTAATAATATTTAAGAAAATGATAACATTATGAAAGAATGAAATATCTGATTAATGCGTAACTTTGTACAACTCGAATATAAACTTTTAAAATATTAGAAATTATAACATTTGAGTGCATATAAGGTTTGTACATTAAGATGAATTGCATGCTGTCCATTTCCCCTTTGCACTTTCAGCCACCTTAAATAAACAAATATATACAGCCGTAACAGAACAACAGTGCATCCAAAGCAAATGTGCATTTTAAATTATTTCTCCTGGCCAAGTCTTTTTTTTTTTTTTTTTTTTTTACTTAGCATTTTATATTAGCATTTTTAAAAAATCATTCTCACCCTTTCTTGGACAGTTTGTAGTTCTCTGAACCAAACAAGCAACAGGTTTAGATCGAGAGAGAGCAAAACCACTTAGGAAAAAACAAAAACTTTTTTTTTTTTTTTTAATGGTTGGTACAAGTTCCCTTGTTTAAACCATTTCATGGTCAAAGCTAGGAAGGAAACTAATGCTGCAAAGGGCCTACATATGGGCAATGTTTGAAAATAATACTGGTGCAGGCTGGGGGAAAGTTCATGTTTCTGACAATCTGGGAATGGTATTGAAATTGTGTTGTGCTCTCTCCTGCTTCCTTTCGGAAGATGAATACCGCCCCTGCCTCCTCCCTCACTGTCCCTTCCCCATCTCCCACTCCAAGCTCAATGTAACACTTAGCTCTTTTCACAGTTTCTCATTACTAAGTTTTAAAAACATTGCCTAACTGGTAATTACAATCTGAAACAATTCTTTTGGGGGAGCCCTGGGCTATTGCTGGTTGGTAATCTTTCAGGAATGTTAGAGAGAGGGGAGAAAACATAGATTTTAAAGAAATCTACGGGCACAGGGACCTGTGTCCCCTTTCATCCTCTCTTCCCTGCTTCTGGCCTGCCCCCTTCTCCCCATCCTTCCTTGGGGCCCACGACCTCCCGTCCTGACTTCATCCTCTGCTTCTTGGCTCATTCCCCTCCTCTGCGCCTCTTACCTTAGTTACATAGCTTCCCGTCCCTACTCACTTTTTGTTTAACTGGAAAATCACCTTCCCCTTGAAAGGGGATGTCTGAATTTTGGCAAATTCTGTTCAAAGAAAGCAATTAGAAACAGACACCACAGAAGGGTTTTTCCTGGGTTACCTCCAGCCTGGCTAATACACCTCAGTGTCAGCGCCATCAGAGGCAGGCCTTGTGGTTTCTCATTATCCTTCAGGGGGTTCCATTTGGACTCATTCTTGTCATTCCATCCATACCAGTCCCCCTTTCCCCTACCAGAAAAAGCAACAGAAAGGACCTGAGACCCCTTGAGTGAGATGCCGGTTGCCAGCTCCCTCTCCTGGGAGAGCCCAGGGCAGCCAGGTATAAAAGCAAGTTCTTCTAAAGCTAGGGCCGTTCCTGGCTTTCCTGTTCCCGGTGCCAATTCCTCTATTTGAACACTCTTCTGCTTGGGAGGTCACAAGGCATAGGCTAGGCCATGGCCAGAAAAAACAAACAAACAAACAAACAAACAAACAAACAAAAAACCCACCTTCTTTACACGGATAGAAAACAATCAAACCAAGATGTGGTCAAAGGTGATTCTTCCTCCCACACTGTTTCTCTTCTTAAGCTACAAAATTTTCAATCCTTGGAGCGGTTGAGAAACAGGTATGCGTCTCCCCGCCCCCCACCTCCTATCAAAACCTGTGAGACACACAAGGAAATCCAAAGCCACAGTAATAAAGGGAAAAAAAAAAAAAAAACTAAAGAAATCCTCCTTGGCTTGTTTTTCCAGGGTGGCCAGGCGAGGTGTGAAAATCCGTATCTCCCTCTGGGCTGGCAGGTGGAAGGTTCTGGGAAGGCTGCGCTCCCTCCTCTCCCACCGGGCTGCATGTCCAGGCTGTTCCCCCACCCTCTGCCTCCTCCAAGGCCAGCTCCTCCTCCGCCTCTCTTTAGTCAAGCCTCCCCTGCTGTCAGGGGCCAAGGCAGCAGGAAAGGCGCCGCTACCTGCAGCCGCAGGACTCCACCACCATGTCCTCGTACTGCTTGTAGACCACGTTATTGCCGGCGTCGATGTACAGGATGCTGATGGGAGTCAATTTGGTGGGCACGCAGCAGCTGGGCGGGGTGGAGCCCGGATCCATGGAGTTCATCAACGTCTGGATGATGGCGTGGTTGGTGGGCTCCAGGTGCGAGCGCAGCGGGAAGTCGCACACGCCTTCGCAGTGGTAGGCCTCGTACTCCAAGGGCGCGATAATCCAGTCGTCCCAGCCCAGCTCCTTGAAGTTCACGTGCAGGGGCTTCTTGCTGCAGCGCAGCCTCGACTTCTTGCCATGCCGCTTGCCGTGGCGGCTGGCGAAGGCCGTGCGCCGCCGCCGGCGGCCGGGTGAGGGCAGCCAAGGCCCGGCGTCCGGGGCGCCCGACGGCGGCGGCCACGACCCCTCGGCGCCGGCGCCCGGGCCCGCGACCTCGGCCGAGCCCAGCTGCTCGCGCATCTCGGCGAACAAGTTCTTGCGCTGGGATCTGGTGAACACGACGAGCAGGGCGCGCTCCTGGGGGGGCCGCACCCTCCGGCCGAAGCCCAGACTCCGCAGGTCCGGGGGCGGTGGCTGCTGCTGCGGCCCCGGCGCGCGTGCCTCGGCCTCCCCAGCTCCCGGCTCGCCCCACGCGGCCCGCAGCTCCAAGCACAGCTGCTTCCAGGGCTGCTGGCGCAGGCCCTGCCACACGTCGAAGACTTCCCAGCCGGCCCGGGGCGCCCCCTGCGGGTCCAGGGTCCGCGCGTCCAGCTGCTGGGGCGACAGGCAGGGGAAGAGCTGCACGTGGAGCGGCCCGGCCGGCGGCCCCCAGGGCGCTGCGGGCGCCTGGCGAAAGAGCCGCAGCTCCGCGCCCACCAGCTCTTCTTTGTCTGAGAGCGTGGACACATCAAACAAATACTTCTGTCTCCGGAGAGGAGTGTGCGAGAGATCGTCTGCGAGATAAAAAATAATTACAGTCAGTTTCACTTAAGGGGGAGATCAGTCCGGTGCTCTGCGGCCGCCCCCGGGAGGAAAAGGGCGGGGAGCGGGGCAGGCCGGCTGGGAGTCCAGCTCGGCCTGCCCGGGGCCTGACCACCCGGGCTCCCCGCCTGGCCGGTGCGCAGCCAGAGGAGGGGGAGCATCGGGGCAGGCCCCCCTCCTCCTGTCAGCCGGGGGCTCCCAGGGCGGAAGTCGTTGGCTGCCGGAGAGGCGGCGGTGGCGGCGGCCTCCCCGGTTTCCCCTCCAAGGAGCCTGCGTAACCACTAATGTGCCCTTTGTGGTCGTGGACCTGGGCCGCGCTTCCCCTAGACCTCCTTTTGGCTGGCTGGCTCGTTCTCATCATTCACGTCTCGGTTCAAATGTCACCTCCTCCGTGAGGCCATCTTCGACCACCCTGATCTAAAGTAGCCTCCCTTGGTCACTATCACAGGACCTGGCTTATTATCTTCCCGGCACTTAGCATTATCTACAAACACTTGCTTATATTTGTCTCTTTAGTGGTCTTTCCCAGCAACATCCTGCCCCCCTCCACTGACCCATAGGAGCTAGGACCATGTCATGTCCATCTTGCTCAACGCAGCCGGTACAGCTGTGCCAGCTGGAGTACATGCTGGGCAATAAGTGAGAAACGTAGCTATTCGCATTCTGGGTGCCCATTATAATCATCTAGAGAAGTTAATAATTACCAGTGCCAGGGCTTGCTTTAACCAATTGCATGACCATCTGAGGGTAGAGCCTGGGTACTGGGTTTTTGTCAGTTTTGTTTGTTTGTTTGTTTGTTTGTTTGTTTGTTTTTAAGCTCCAAGATGATTTGAAGATGCAGCCCTAGTTTAGACCCACTGGTCTAGGGGGATGTTGCTGCCCATTAGACAGTTTTGCTGAAGCATTTAGGCCCAACACAAAGCTGACAGATTGAAGATCGACTATATGATCTCTTCCTTCCTTCCTTCCTTCCTTCCTTCCTTCCTTCCTTCCTTCCTTCCTCAAATTCACCTACCATTTTAACAACAAACAAAAGAGCAATGAAGCTTTCAGAAGTCTGCAGGGGGCAAAGGAACAAACACACACACCAGGCATCTATCCGTTGGGAAGATCCCTCAGTCAAAGAGAAATACACCAGTAAGGAGAATACCTCAAACACACACACACACACACACACACACACACACACACACACACACTCCCCTTCACCCACCCACCCAACTTGAAATCTTCTTGCTTCGCAACTCATCTTGCAGATTAAATTTTTGATTACAAATAAGAAAAAGAAATTTGGGGCACATGATGGCAGGGGGTGGGTGGCGGGAATAACAAGCTTTTAAAATCCAAGATGAATTCTTTGGGACCAAGGCACAACTTGACTTCTTTTTTGATGCATTTGTGCATGAAGCCAACCCCACTTCAATGTGCAAGGCGGAAAGCTAACCAGATTTTCCTGGGCTGCCTTCTCATAAAATATTTACAACCCAGCAAATACAAAAATCCCCAAAGCCCCCAGCTTTCCCCAGAAGCTAGTAAAGTTTGGTTCGATTTCAATAGTAAAAGCGTCACTGGGTCCTGGGTCCGACCCTCCCTGCCTATCCAGATGTAGCCCCAGGGCACTGGGTCTGGAGCCTCAGCCACACCCAGTCCCCACTCTAGGCTGACTGCATGGCTGGCTACCTCACTCTAACACACAAGTCCTGACCTGAGATGGAGCTGTGGGAAGGGTTAGAGAGGTGAAGAGGGAAAAGCTGCTGGAGGCGGTTGATTTATGGAAGCCAAGACCTTCAAACCGGCCAGGGTCACATTAAAATCAGTGGGAACTCAGCACACTTTCTTCTCCTCCTTTAAAGAAACCTGTGTCTGACAACCCTCAGCCACCACCCAGATCTCTGGACCTATTGCCTTAGGCTTCACTTTCTTGCCTCTCATATTTCTCTCTCCCTAAACTAAGGGTGTGATGAGATGGACAAACAGAAGGCATTTGCTGCACCAGCTAAATATTGTGAGGGCTGATGTGTTTTTCATCCTTACTTTATCCACAAGCACAGACCAGTTCTGTAAGGTAGATATATTCTTATTGTTCCCATTTTACAGGTGGGAAAACCAAGGTTTGGGGAAATTAAGTTAATTACCAAAGTCTGACAGCTAGTAAGTGGTGAAGTTGAGATCCAGACTTAGGTCTGTTTAATTCCAGAGTTGGAGCATTTAGCCCCTAAGCCCCATTTCCTCTCCATTGTAGTCCAGGTACTAGAGTTTAAAAGCAACCAGGAATGGCTGGGGTATAAGGGATGGGGGGATACAGTCCAAACTGTATTTTCACGGCTTGCTAGGAATAAAACATGGACTCCTTAAGGAAATCATTTCCATCCCTGCTTACATAACTCTTGAGACAATCTGTCACTGGCTGGAGAGCATAGAAAGGTGCAAAGGGTAATTATTTATTTATATCTCTCTCGTGAAACATGGAGAAAGCAGCCTATTTTGTTTCTACTCTTTTTTTTTTTAAGTGTGGGCTAATAATGGTTAGTCTGCACAGCTGAATTACTTTTCTCTACTTCTCAAGAGGTGTCAGAACAGAGGAAAGCATCTGTAGAGAGAGGGTTCTACTGATTGTGCAGCCTTGGGATTTCTGATGGTCTTTCTAGCAAGATCAGCCAGCTCTTAATCTTTCCAGGGCTCAGGGAAAGAGTGCAAATGGGGGCTTCAGTCTAACCTGCTCCTTTCTCTTTCCATCGCAGCTCCAACAGCCTCACCTGCACCAGTGTGGACTCCCTTGCTCACAGGTGCAAGCTTCCAGGCATATATCTGGGGCAGATACACTCTTAGGAGGACACACCCAATGAAGAAGTTGTCCAGGCCCTTGAAGGGGACTCTGGGCTAGTTGGGCAAGAGCTCTATGGTTCAATGACCACAGTAGAATAGTAGCTCTCAAGGCCACTAAACCTGTAGAGGCCCCTTAAGTCTGCACCATCAGCACCACACAGCGTCAAGCTTGTTAGAAATGCAAATTCTCTCAAGCTCCAGAGGCTTCTTATGGAGCCTAGAAAATGCATCTTTCTGAAGCTCCCAGGCAATGCTGATTCTGCTGGTCTGGGATCTCACTGTAAGAGCCATGAATCTACATGAGCATGTCCCCTTGGCTCCTTAGATTCCTCATCATGTGGGGTGGGGCACCACTGGAGGTGAGGCAAAACAGCGTCCTCCAAAGCACAAGACCCAGGGCAGACTCTAAGGTCCTACTCACTAGAACCAAGTCACTATTCTTCCCAGCTCCTTTTTGCCCCCCCACAGCCACCCCCACATTTTTGGTACTCTTTCAGCCACATGTACTCTCACTGGGTCTCCAGAACCTCTAACCCCTGAACAGAGGGTCCAAGAAGGTGGCTTCTCTGTGCAGCTCTCCTACAGACCACATTCCCCACCTGTCTGGACCTGCTCTGGGGCCATGCATCACAGAAATCGCCCAAAGGAGGCATCCAACCTGGGGAGTGCACACACCACCATCCCCTGTGACCCTGAAGACACTTTGACTGCTGACCTGGCATCAGAAAGCCTGGCCTTGCCGTCATGGCCACCTCTGGGGAGGAAGCCAGCCCTTCACACTCCCTTCCCACAAGCCTCCTCTCCCACCGAGTCCTCATAAATGAGGGCTGATATCACCAGTTGACCCTCTCTCCCATCCTCCTCACTAGACACATGAACCTTCCCTTCGGTTTGTGGTACTTTCTTACATCCTGGGAGGGAATCCTAAGGTTTCCACCTTTAAATTGAAATCAATCAGTAGTCATGGGAGCTTTTTATTTTGTTTTAATTTGCACCGACCTGGTTTGTTACAGCTTGGCTCAGACTCCAGTTTACTCGGTGTTTGTTGAGTATTAGACGTACAGACCTTTCGAGTTACAGTTGCTGGATTTGTGCCTATCAACTTTCCCAGGTGGGTGGATGGAGGAAGGAGGGGGAGGAGAGAAGGAGAAGGGACAAACATCTGTATACTTGAAGAGAAGTCTTCATAAATAGGTCAGCCGTTTTTGAGTTAAGAGCAAGTTGGTAAAAGGCTGAGGACACCTCAAACATGTACATCTAGTGTGGAATTTGACAAACAATTTAAAAAGGAAACAGATGAAGGCACAAGAAAAAAACGAATCACTTGCAAGGTAGGGACTGTAATGCCCATTTTAAATTAGAAAACTGGCCTAGGACAGTAAAGTCATCAATGCGGGGTCGCAGTCTCAGTACGTGGCGTGGCGGGAGAAAGCTAAGAAACAAACACCAGACGGGAAAGGAAAGGTTGCCCACAGCACCAAAGACCCGACACCCAAGAACCTGAGCCCCAGGAGGGCGGCCTCGCCGAGGGACTCCAGGAGGCAGGAAATGCGCCCGGAGGGTCCCCCCGGGCTACTCACGCTGGGGCCAGCTCCGCTGGGCCACCCAGTGGAGAGTTTCTGAAAACCCGCAGTTTCATTTGGTTTGGGGCGGAAAGCTCACACACTGCATTTTTTCCAAGACATTCCTGAGATAGGTACACAGCTTGAGGTCCCGCTTGAGAGTCCTTGCGGGTATTTTTTGTCTCTCGCCCCTCACCCTTCCAGGGTGCCCCCGCGGCTCCAGCTCTCTAGGCTCCTCAGTGCATGCCGGGCTCTCGTCCTTTGCATTTGACCCCACTCGCCTCCACCCGACACCCCGCCACGCGTCCCGCCCCACGTCCTCCAATGGCACAGATCCTGCGACTAGGCAGGGGCTCAGAAAGCCGAGATGATAGTGGACTTTCCCACCCCCACTTCCCTAGGTGGGGTGGGGGGGAGTAAGAAGGGGCGGGATATTCACCCATCTTTACAACTAAAACTCCAGACGTCTTTGCAGCTAACCCTTTCCCCCAACCCCCTCATTTTTTGGCCAACAGCCGCACTGAACGCGTATGGGGCGCGCCTTTGTGGCAGGCCAGTGCTTGGGCTTTGATGGCCTCTGTCCC